AATAGTATATATATATATATATATATAATACTTGGCATAGTACATAGCATTTATCATAGAAGAACCTGAACCTCTAAGCACTTTATATTAAATAAGCTTCTCAAAAGATGGGGAAACTGAAGTAGGGAGAGGTTAATGGTCAAATTTTCAAAAGCTTGTGCAAGCAGCTAAAGAGCAGAGCACGTTTAGGTGCTTAGAGAATTTTAAGAACGGGTATTTAGTCATGTCCATGTCCTCTGAACACACTGGGAGATGAGCACTCCAAAAGGCAAGTCCAGGGCATAGTTAAGGTGTTGGTGATCAACTGGCATCTTTTAAAGCAGTGATTCTCAACCTCTTTGGGCTCAGGACCCATTTGTTAATCTTGATGGCCTGTTGCAACTCTGTAAATAGGCCGTGGGTAAGGAGTTGAGTCAGGTCCTGCCCCAAAGGGGTGGAAAGCCCTGGGGGCAGAAATGACCTGTCGCAACCCAGTAAATAGGCCAGGGGGTCAGGTCCTGCCCCTGAGAGGTGGGAGACCAGGTCTTTCCCGCAGGGTTTGGAGGTCCTGGGGATGGGTCCGAGGCCCTGTGGGGATCCCGAGCCCACCCTGCACTCACCTGGCAGCAGTGTCTTCTGGCGCTCTGGTCCCATGGGGCTGGCTGGAGTTGGCTCCCTGCTCTAGGTACTGCCTCCGGAATCACAGCATTGCTCAGGTTTGCCTCGCCCTCCTCATGGGGGGCCAACTGGGCCAAATTTGTGAGAGTGGCACTGCAATCTGGAGCATGGGGTTGCAGTGCCAGTCACTCAAATTTGGCCTGACTGGCCCACTGTCATCAGAATGGAGGGGCGACTGGGCCAAACCTGAGCGATGCTATGACCCCTGAGGTCATAACACCAAGCTGGGAACTGAGCCCAGCCAGTGCCACGGAACTGGAACCCCAGGAGCCGCCACATGACCCCCTGAAACATTTTGGCAATCCAATTTTGGGTCATGACCCTTTGGTTGAGAAACCCTGTTTTAAAGCACTCAGAGCTCCACATTCATTCAACAAACTGCTTCAAACTTAAATCATGTCAGTGACTCTCCACTTTGATTAATTTTCATGTAGCCAAAGACTCTATTAGTCCTCAGTCACTCCCGTTTCCTTAAACACTGGTTACACAGGCCCCAGACTATGACCCAAGCCACTGTGTTCAATCCCCTTTAGTGATAGCTAATTTAAAAGCAAACCACTTTTTCTTAATAAAAGCCACTGACCATTTCTTAATCTGCATTTTTCTGAATGTATTATTACCACAAAAATGTCCAATTCTGAGCAGTGACTAGATGCTGGCAAGTATGAATGTGCAGCACTGCTTGAACAGAAGGGATTTCACAACAACTGGTTAATTTATCAGAAAGTTACTGATCTCTTATCTTTGTCCACTCGTCACTACTGAGATAAGCGTATTTCTGGTAAATCCAGGTGGCCAGAAGATCTTTCAGTGCACATCCTTCCTTTGCCCCTGCTGAAACAACAACTCTGCTTAAATTCTGCCACAATGTGGACTGGCACCATTTTTAAAAACAAGTTACTGCTAAGCTGGCTGGTTACTCATTACACTTGGTAGAGAGTTGATTTGTGGTGGGGGCAGGGAGGTTGAGCAGAGTTCCCTGCAGGGGATATAACTGGTTATTATTGTTATAATTTATTATTTGCATTATCGTAGCACCTAGGAACCCTATTCATGGACCAGGACCATATTGTGCTAGCTATTGAATAAACATAACAAAATGATGGTCCCTGTCCCAAGGTACTTAAAATCTAAGCTATTGTTGTCTGTGTACCCATGACAAGAGGAAAGTGTCTTCAGTACCTTTTCATTTAATAGCGAATATCGCCTACCCTACTCCATCCAGGACCCAGTTGCAGGTCACAGAGCATAACTTACTATAAACAAGGGTGAGAGTGTTCTTTGAGTTAGTACAATCTTCAGAGATTCAAGTTGTTGCTGACAAAGCATGTTTCCTGAGATGGTCTTGCATTTATATTCTAAATCAAAGCTTCCTCTAAGCTGCACAGCCAGGCAGCTTCCTATTAAGCCCCGTGCAGGGGTTCAGGGCTGCGGCCGGGAGAGACGCCTCTCCCCACCGGCCCCAGCACGGACCTGCTGCGGCATAGAGAGGTGCCTCTCCCCACCGGCCCCAGTACAGACGTGCCGGCCCCAACATAGACCTGCCCTGGACTTGCCGCGGCGGGGGGAGAGCCGCCAACCCAGCCCCGGCAGGGACCTGCAGTGGCTGGAGGAGAGGCACCTCTCCTCCCCCCACCCAGCCCAGGTGCTGCAATGGGGAGAGAGAGCTGGGGGAGTCCTCTCTCCCCACCATAGCCCCTGGGCAGCCTGCACCCCAAACCCCTCATCCCCAAGCCCCAAAGCCCGCACCCCCAGCCAGAGCCCTCACTCTCCCACACCCCAACCCTCTGCCCCAGTCCTGAGCCCCACCCCCACCTCTTGGCCCCACCCCCACCCCATGAATTTTGTTATGTGCACCAATATGGAGATGATCACATGCGTGGGGAAAATTAGTGGGAACACTGTTCTAAATACATCGATTTTGGGCCAAAATAAGCTGCAGTAGCTCCTTATCCAGCATATGCTCCTTGTACTCCTTTCTCCTACACTTACCCTTAGTAGGCATAATATGACAGCAAGGATTTACTCATATCCATCCATCCACACATACACAAACACTGTGTAGTTTCCTGTCACGTGCTTGGGCCCCAGAGTAGCAGGAGGACACGTTTATTTTTGCCAGCAATTCTGAGGCATCATTAACTCCTATGATAGCTACTTTTTGAAAGTCCTGGTGGCCAAGCACTTTGCTAGAGCCAAAATGCAGGCAGTCGCCCAGTAGAGGGGTTGAATTTTCAGAGTTACAGCCCCAGCTCCCCTCAGCTTTGAAGCATCCAAAAAGAAATTTCTCAAATTCCCTGCTGTGCATCCAAACTGCTCCCACAGTAAATTCTCCAGCAGTTGACTAGTCCAAGTTCACAGTGAGTCAGGGTGCATCTACACTGCGATATAAAAACAGAAGCACCAAGTCGCAGAGCCTGGGTCAGCTGACTCTGGTTTACAGGGCTCAGGCTGCAGAGCTATAAAATTCTAAGTGGAGACATTCAGGCGTGGTTGGAGTCTGGGCTCTGAGACCTGAAAATGGGGAGGGTCTCAGAGCTCAAGCTCCAGCTTCAGCCCAAATGTCTATACAGCAATTTTTAACCCTGCAGCCTGAGCCCTGCAAGCCCAAGTCAGCTGACCTGGGCTCTGAGACTCAGTGCAGAGGTTCTTTAGCACAGTGTAGATGTACCCTCAGTGACAGAACCAGCAAGAGTTCCCATGTATCCTGATTCCCAGTCCTGTGCTTTAAACATTAGGAAACATTTGTCTATTGATTTTTTTTCCTATACAGGTTAAGAATACTTAATAGAATTCTGGAAGTGAGAAAATAAGGAAATATTTTGAAATTAACTTCCCTTACTCTATTCTGCCTCTTAGAAGAGAGAAGCAAGCTGTACTTTAACATTACCGTAAGAAAAATTTAGCTCACCGAGCAGAAATACCAACTGCCTTGCCTTAGTTTAAACCCATTCTGTAGAAACAAATTAGCTGAGCTGCAAACCCATTGTAACAAGCACGGTGACAAAATAAAATCTACACAATAGTTTCCTAGACTCTTGAGAAAAGTTGCCCCCAACCATCTCTAATTAGAGCTAAATTGGCTTTAATTTTCTTTTTCTCTTATAAAATGATGGAATTTCATGCACTGACTAAAGCTTCTAAACCCGGCTTACACCAGTACTGAATATTGCAACAAAAGAACCTGAAGTTACATGCCTACTGGCTGGCTGGATTTCTGCCACTCCTGCTTACTATACAACACAATACCATTAACTGATGTCACAGTAGAGGAATTTTCCTCCCCTGGAGTCACATATTCTAGAGGTGTTAACGTTCAGGACAAATATGCCAGATTCAGTATCCAATTTCAAATTCATGCTGATAAGGACTGAAGAGAAGGGATGGAAAATACACACTTGGGCCTTGGCAGTACCTGCAGCTATATTCATAACCACAATAAAAAACAATACTTCCTTATAATATGAGGTTAGGAATGACAGTGGACTAAGCCATTCTCATTGAGGGGAACTTGGGCAGAAGTAACAATGTGTGGTAAATTGAGAGGAATAATGTAAGAAACAACAGGGGCTAGAGGATTAAAACAGTCTGAAGTTAGATGATAAAGAAACAGACAAAGGTACCAAAAGAATAACTTTCAGATTTTTTTTAATGTTTCTGAAAGCATTATTCAGCGATCCACTGTGCTCTATTTAAGTGCTGTTCCAGCGGGAAGAAAAGAATCTCATCAGGGTAGGTATTGTGCAGTGGAATTCAACAAAGCATTGTCCAGAGACATTGTCTATTCATCTCTGCCACCTGGTTTTGAATCCAGCCTCACTAATGGCAACTAAAAGCTTCTTGAATTAAAAAGCTTTAGGAGATTGCAAGTGAAATAAATGCAGAGAGATTCAGTATAGTTTTAAGCAAACAAGGATTTACACTGCATGCTTTAAAACGTATGGAGAGTGGTACGCTTGGATTGACACGAAAAAGCAAGGATTTCTTTAATTTCATTAACTGCACAAAAGACGAATCTTCTATAATTCTTGGACAGCTATAACTGAAGCGATCAACTGTAGCAGTGTCATAATGTATATTAAAATAAAGGGAATCAAAAGAAAGTTACAATAATGGCTAAATAATCATAATTTGTATTTTCTTTTCAAACACTGATTATTGGTTTGCAACCTCTGCAATAACCCACCTCTAACTTCCTTCCCCCTTTTATCACATCCCACAATTATGACAAATGCTAATAAATACTAAAATCCTTAAATTT